CTCCATGGCACTTTCGATATTCTTTGCACATGAGTTACATAAGTGATCAGATGTCTCATTTTATAAAAACCGAATTCACAGAGACTTTAAAGCACGACGGACGGCCACAGTGACTGCAACAGTGCACTTGAACATGGCACCGATCGTGAGGGGGGCTCGGGACCTGGAAGGGTTTCTTCTGACGTGCTTAGGGTGGCAACGAGCCAGAATGGACTCAATAGCATGTAACAATAACAACCTAAGGACTAATGCAGTTACTTATGTCACCACCGGAAGTGAGTAACTTCACCTCCATGAGCCCCTGACGCTGAGAGCAGTTCATGGTAAGGAAGCAAGGCTGTCTAAAAGAAAGTAGGACAACTTGCTTTTTGATTCCTGAGGAACATTTTGCCAGCGACTTAACTTCTCACACTTACTTGTAAGTGAGATGGGTGAGTCAGCGGCCCCTCAAGTCCCTTATAGCCTATGGCCATTCATCTGGGGCATATTTGACTTCAGAGCTTGTTATTACACAATAGTGTATGTTCTATGGAAGAACAGTCACTCCAGGGACCCCCACTAGAGGTCCTTGACTACCTTCTAAGAGGATGCGGCAGATTTCTGGGAACAAAAATGGAAAATACAATCCTCAACTCTGGAGACTGGCCTTTGAGTCTCAGCCCTGTCACTCACTTGAACAAGTTACTTGAAAGTTCCCACGGCTCAGTGGTTGTCAATAAAATGGTTAAATATATATAAAGCCCAGAACTATGTCTTGCACATGAGTGTTAGTAGCAGTGTTTGTTAGAGCTATTATCATTGCTGCTGCTGCTGAGAACATACATAGGAAAACGTATGCTAATTCAACGGTTCCCACGTGGAAACTGTTACACTGACTGCACTCGTCAAGTTGTACACCCTTTTCTGAGTTGTTCCATTAACAGAACCCCACTGCCTCCTACGGCATCATAGGGTATCATCTTCCACAATGTTGTCAGTTTGATCGTATACAGCTAGATTGAAAAGACCACATTTCAAGTTAATTAAGCTAATCTATTATTTAGTTTTAAGAAAACCTCAGGGGATATTTTTGGTTTGAGTTTTAAAGATTGTCTCAGAATAATAGTTTCAGGGGCTCATCCAGCCTCCATGACTTCAGAAATTCTGGATTCCGTGAGAACTTTCCATTCTGTTCTTTAGTTACTCCACTGTGATCAAAATACTTCTAGATTTTGTTCTTAGAATGTTCACTAAGGGGAGCCGGGCACCGTCCATCTCTCTGGTCTCATGGCAATGGAGGCAACTCTTCATGGAGGCGATGAGCCACACATTCCGTATCTTCCTCCTGTCCCTGCCTCTTCTTTTTCCTCTATTGCTTCAGGTGGGTAGAGACCAATTTTTGGTACCTTCCAAGGCTGTCTGAAAGACCCCAGACATTCCCCAACAAACTAGACAATAGAACGGAAACACTAGGAGCCTCAACAGGAGCACTAAACATGACTGTATTAGTCTGGGTACTTTAAAGAAACAAATCCACAGAAACTCATGTATAAGAGTGAGTTTTATATAAAGGTTAACTGTGCATCAAGAAAATATCCCAACACAGTGCTGCCCAAGCCCACAAGTCCAACATTAACCCATTAACCCATATGTCCAACACCAATCCACAAAGTCCTCCTCCATCCAACAAAA